TACTTGTAGTTGTTACTGGATCAATTTGGCCAGAAATGACAAATCACAGTTCAAGAGTCACAATTTTCTGTTCATGGAGTCATGGTGACACTGAAAGCATTTTATCATGACAAATCACATCTGTGGATGGTGTCACTAAGTTTTATCCTAAAAGGTTGATGTTAAATTGCAGAAAATCCTTTAAAGTTAAACTGGGTAAAAATGACCCACAATAACATGGTAAACCACTCTGATAAAATAAGTGAGGTGAGATGATTTAATTTAGCTGACAGAAGTCTTTTCAACTGTATACCATCATATGAGCCTCCAGAGATTTATGATGGCTAAAATTGCTCAGTGGGCTCAGTGGTCCTGATATCCATGCATGTTTATATGCTAATAATTCTGCCACATGTCCAAGCTAATCATACAGAAATGTAGATAGAGTGAGAGCACATTTGTGAATCTGCTGCAGTAGGCAATTTTCCATATACCTTTTTCCTTATTAGATTGGTGCAAATTTTGATTTCACACCTCTAAATTGGCCACAGGAGTTTGGGAACTTGTAGTTGAGACACAAAAGCCTTCATTACTTTTACTTTCAACTCCAGTTGAAAGTCAATTGGTATGCATTACAGAGTGTAGCAATGGGCAATTTCTGAGACATTCAATTTGTGTTTTGGCTTATGCGTAATGCTGTATGACCAAGTGCAAATTGTGTGTATTGTCATTGACAGAATACTCATTTAAAGTGTTAAAAAGAACATCAGACACATTATTGTAAATGTAGCCTATATTTGATCTGAGACTTGAAAAGCAAGTATGCAAAACCTTGGCAATTCAATGCCAAAACTCTAACCTTGCTTGTTTGAGGCAATGTGGATGACAATTTTCTATTTCATTCATACCACTTTGGCTAATTTGTAATTTAAACAACACAATATATGTAGTAGCCTATCTTAATGTATTTAATGTTGTTTTTCGACTGAAGGAACCGATTTTGTAATTTTATTTCTGTATGTGGATTTTCTGTGTACATCTGTCATGAACAGAGAAATAAAATGTCATCTACTCCAGATCTGGTCACAAGAAATTGGTTTTGGTTTAGGACTTTACTGCCAGCTACTGGAAAGCAATTGCACTGCAGTCTATTTACAAAGAGACGTGAACAACAGTTCAGTGTTAATAGATTATAAATTTAGAATGCCAGATCTCTTTTCTCTCATTATTATTACACTCTAAAAAAATACTGGGTTGTTTTAACCCAATTTTGTGTAAAATATGGACAAACCCGGCCATTGGGTTAAAAAAGGAATTTAAAAATGTAACCCAATGGCTGGGTTTGCCCATATTTTACCCAAAATTGTGTTAAAACAACCCAGCATTTTTAATATCAATAGTAAGAAGAATGCTCAGACAAATTAATAGCTGAAATGTTGCACAGATATTCCACAGGATTTACCCATGAGTTAATATATATATATATATATATATATATATATATATATATATATATAATTGTAGTTAATAAATGATAATTTACAAAAATAATAATAATAGCATTAAACCAACCATGTTTTGAATATTTGGCATAAGGAATTTTCTTTAGATACATACCTGCCAGAAAAGGTGCTCCCCCAGCTAATTCTTGGTTCCTGTCATCCTACTTAATTTTTCCATGACATATTAGATTTTTTCCTGTTGACTGGAGATATTGACTATTTACTGCATGCTTTGAAACAATCACTAAATATTACATTTAAATAATTGCATATACTTTACAAATTAACCTTAAATTAATTACTAGCATCTTAGTCATAGGATGATTTCACAGACAGGGCTTAGTCCAAGCCAGGATTTGCCCTTAGTTCATGTAGGGCATTTAAGTAGCTTTTATAAACGTGTCTTAGAAAAAAATAAAAATACAAATAAAAAAGAAAAAAACAATACTGGTGTACATCTTGAGACAATATTTTAAGATCTGTACAAATTGCTTTCAGTAAAAACAGCTCAAAGCATGTATTTTAATCTTGGACTAGACTTAAAGTGATAGTTCACCCAAAAATGAAAATTAGCATGATTTACTCAACCTGAAGTCATGTTGTAGACTTTCTTCTTTCAGACAAATACAATTTGAGTTATATTAAAAAAATATCCTGGTTCTTCCATGATGGGAGTGAATGGGTGTATGTCTTTGGAAGTCCATCAAATCACATTGTGTTCTCTGGGGGTTAATAAAGGCCTTCTGAAGTGATGTGACGCATTCCTGTAAGAAAAATATCCATATTTAAAACGTTATTGACTATTAACTCTTCCGGCAGACGGCCTATGCAAGTCTACCTATGCCAAAAGAGTAACACTTGACGATGTACAGTATGATGTAGGATGTATGAGCAGTGTGAGATTTGACGCCTCTCAAGGTTCAAACAAACAGGGGTTTCCCAAAGCCAAACATGGTCACACGTTCCGTTCTTACAAACAGAGTTCAATAGAAATTGCGATCATAGTTGGCCAATTATGATTTCGAGAAACGCAACCCAGGGCTGGGAAACCACGTTCATCATTGCGCGTCAAGTTTGGCGTAAATTGATGCGTACGGCCGTCTGCTAGAAGCTAGTAATTTTAGTCGATAAAGTTTTAAATATGGATATTTTTCTTACACAAATGCATCGCTTCACTTCAGAAGGCCTTTATTAACCCCCAGAGATGCGTGAAGCTCTTTAATATTGAATGGATGCGCTTTGATGGACTTCCAAAGACATACACCCATTCACTCCCATTATAAAGCTTGGAAGAGCCAGGACATATTTTTTTTTATATAACTCTGATTAAATTCGTCTGAAAGAAGAATGTCTTATACACCTAGAGGATGGCTTCAGGGTGAGTAAATAATGGGCTAATTTTCATTGTTGGGTGAACTATCCCTTTAAGCCTTGTCTGTGAAACTGTACTAAATTGACCAACAATTTAAAGTTAAAGTTAAGTTAAAATTCACTTGCCTGTTGTCAAGCTTGTTCTCACACTTTCTTGCCTGGAAGCATGCTATAGGTCAGCATTTGCTTGTGTTGTTATAAAAGAAATGCATTTATGGGTTGTATTGAACTATAGATGCGAGATTAACAGTCTTTAAAAGGTCACTCACATGAGTTCCAAATAAAGAAAATCTCAAACACTCAAGATAAACATGAACAATTAAAACAAGTACACAAGTGTCTTTATTTACGCAAGCAAGTTTGTTTCTACAGTTCGAAAAGAAAAAAAAGCCACTGTCAAGCTGTTGGCACATTTATGTACAAAACCAGTTAATTTTACTGCCTGCTACAAAACATTCTCAGTGAAAGTACAAAAAAACTAGTACAGTTTGAGGATAAAGCTGAAAGCAATGTCAGGGTAATACTGGATACGCAACATCATAGCAAGTATAGGATTAAGACATGGTTTGGAAAATCATCACGAACTTGATAGGACAAAACTCAAACACTATAACCTAATAAGATATTTAGCTTAATATTGTTAGCGTAGCAACTGTAATACTGCACATTTAGAAAAAAATAAAGTTGACCCCAGCAAGACAGTCAGTCATAAGTGAAAAAATCTAAATAAAGGACTTTTTTTTTTTCCTTTTTGAGTTAGTTAAAACTATTACCATTAGATGCATAACCATGCCACAAATAACAACTAGATTTTATTTATTTATTTTTTTTACCTACTACAAGTTTCATTTTGTGGTTTAAAAAAAAAGCTGCAAGACTAGTAAGAGTACAAGGACTCTGCGCTGATTCCAAATGCACTTACACCAAAAAACTCACAATGGTCCATAAGTGCACAAAAACTAGCTTTTTTGTTTTGTTTTGTTTTTTGAAACACTGACAAAAGTACTTTACTGCAAAAGTAGGGCAACTGAAGTCGGCAAGACTGAGCCAAAAAAACTGAGTTTGGCATTATACATGCCTGTACACCCATATCTTTCTTGTTTATTCAAACCTTATTTACCTTAACCTTATTTCCACAGTGTTTGGCAGAGTCGTTGCAATCAGCTTCTCCATTTAGATTTATACTTCTCTGATATGAACGACAATCTCAAGAATATCACCTACTGTAACACTGACTGGCGAGATGTGGTTTAGAAATTGACATGAAATGTGTTTACACTTAAAGAGATATATACAGTTCAGAGGAATGGCCAAAAAACGGTTTGATTACTTGCATTTATAAGTTAAAGCTAAAACTAAGCAATAAAACACCTGAAAATGTTATTCGCATGTGAGAGTATGGCTTTCAATGAATGACAGAAAACAAATATCCATAGAGTCTCCCAAGGCAAACCCTAAGTTCTTTCACGGTCCTAATTTCCCAATCAGCAGCCATTTTTGTCAAAGCTTAACAAGCGTTTACTAAGCACCAGTGTAACACCTTCCATTGATACTGCGCACAGCTATCATATACAGGTAGGCCAAGCTACAATATAGCAGTAAAAGTCACTTTAAGGTACTTTTTGAAATCCCTGGCACTCCAAAACTGAATTTGTTGGAAAAAGAATCTGTACATTTGTTGTGCTGTTGCTGCTGTAAGTGTGGCAGCTTGAGCGATTTAACCTGTAAATCATACGTTACAAGTTTGGTCACATTTTGGTAAAAAGTAGGTGAATCTAAATCATGACTAGCCATTTATAGGGTAAGCTTGAAGACTGTAAATCATCAGCGTGTAATACAAAAATGTGAAGTGTGCTTGTAATCCCTTTGGCTAAACCCAAAACCCCTAACAAGACCCAATGAGACATAAAAGTATGTGGTACAAAAGAGAAGTCACTCAGCTTCACTGTAAAAAATGAATATGCTTTATTTAATCAATAAAATTGTGGCAACAGATTACAAGCAATATGATTTATTAAATTGAACAAATTAGAATTGAGTAATAGTTAATCAAATTAATATTCTAATTAATTCTAATTTGTAAAATGTAATTAATAATATTGCTTGTAATATGTTGCCACAATTTTATTGATTAGATAAAGCATATTATTTTTTTCAGTGTTGATGTGTTTATCAGGATGTGCTCTCAAACACGTCAACAGAAAAGGGAGGTAGAGGAGAAATGAAAGGACAAAGAAACTAAATCTAAATCCAGGGTAGTCAGAGACGTTGCCATTGAGACGATAAGCACGCCCATAGACCAACATTCTGAGTCACACCCGTACATAGCAAGTGTTACAGTTATTTGCCTCCCCAATCCCATCCCTCTCCTCAACCCTGGAAACCATGGAAATTAGACTTAGTTAAGTTTAGTTTATATATATGTGTCTTCAGGGAAGGGAACGGCATGCTTGTGTATGTGTGTGTGTGTGTGTATATTTATATGTGTGCGCATGACCGCGTGCTTTATGTGTATGCATTCAGACGCTCTTTAGAGCGAGTAGAGTGGATATCATGAAGCTCTTGCTCCTCCTTGGACTTGATATCCTCGTATTTCTGCATCCGGCAGGCGTCCTTCACGTAAGCCCAGTTAGCCGACAGCACCATCAGGTAGTGCACCTACAGCAACACAGTGGTTAGAGGGGAGGGTTAGTGTTAGTGCTGATAACCATTCTGTACACCCCCCAAAAAAGGTCAAAGAATTACTCTGGAGAAGACAGGGACAGCGTTTAGTGTCCCAGTTTAGACTGGAAATCAACCATATTAGTTATTTCCCATGGCAGGCAAAGCGGCAACCAGTTCCAGCTAAATACAAGCCAAGTTAGTTTGTTTGCTCACACATGTTATCACTTGCAACTGTTGGGTTAACTTGGGGCAACGCAGCTGGTTATGGTGGGGAGGTGGGAGGAGGACAGGAACTGAAACGATTTTGCAAAATGGAGGGGCCTGGGTGTCATTTTAATCACGCCAATTATGGGACGTCGTTATGAAAGTCGCTGCTGTGGGTGATGGTGGTGGGGCCCTTGGTGGACAGAGAGTGTGTCGGGAGGTGGGATGGGACACCCCAGACCAGAGCTGGCTTCAGAAACGCGTGCAGTACCTCCCCGTGTTCTTAGACGTCAGAATGACATTGTTACGGATGAGGACAGACACTGCCACCACCTGTGACGGTAGTCAGATCATTAAAAAAGAGAAAGGAAGAAGGTTACTCCTTTTCACGCTCATGTCATTCCAAACCTGTATGATATTATTTTTTTCTGTGGGAAAGAGGAGATGTTTAATTCACACTGAAAGTTCAGTGAAAGTGAATTGTGAGCAAGTGCCGTCAAGTTTCAAAAGCATCATAAAAAATATCTTCTGAAGCCATAGCCCCGCCCTTTCACACAGAGATTCCGGAAAATGCACTGATAATGTGTCCTGGGATTGTTTGATTTTGGTTCATTCACTCTGCCAGTGATTTTCTGGAATCTGTGCATGCATTTATTTGACACACATCCCATAAAGACAAATGACACACCCCTTATGGCATTGGTCCTGCCTTTGGTTCACACAGGGCGCTTTCCGGAACTGATCCCAGTAATGTCACTACTTGGCTTGTGTTCACACAGAAGGCACTCTTCTGGCAATTTTCTGAGATCAATGCTCTGTGTAAAAGGGGCTATTATTGAGTGATAATCTTATTCAAATTCTTGATTATTCAGATATCCACATCAATGATGGCAAATATCATTAGTTCTTGTGTGTGCCTTGTAACCAATTTTGAATATGTGCATTTTAAGGTGAGTTAAATGAGTTAAACCTCATGAGATTTGAGTGCTACGTCAGAGGGAATAGACTTATAATGCCTTTTAAGGTGCATTTTTGTCAATTTGCAAACCTTTTGTCACCATTTACCTTAATTGTATGGAAGAAAAGAGCTTCCAAAAAATGGGAACAGAGTGAATAAATGATGCCAGAATTTAAAACTGAACTATCCCTTTAAATGTGGATGGTTGTGAACATTGTGGTATTGTTAATGCATTTTCAGAACAAAAATGGCTCCTGTAGTTGCGTTGCAATGCCACAAAAGACACTCCGATTATAATTTTGACGAAGTTCCTCTATACACCAATGGGTGGCATCATTGCTGCACAAATCAGCAAGCTGTGAGTATGCAGCAATATTCTCTGAAAGGTATGATGTAATTATATAATCAAAAGAGCACAAATTATGATCCAATTCTGTAGACTCTTTGTTTCTAAGTACTTAATGTCCAAGCTGTTTTCTCATTTGCAAACCATGTGGAATGCAATTAACTCAAATAAATGAGGCCAGACTGTTGCCTTTCCAGAAAACAAATGCATTGTGCTTTTCAGATAAGCTTAAGCAGAAGACAAAAGCACAGTATTTGACAAAAAACTAAGGTAGACAGTGTATTGACAGTCTGCCTCAAATTAATTTGATGCTATTCTATTTACCTTCTACGTAAGCCCTTATATTATTAACTAATGAAAATGGCTTTCTAAGGTTCAAACCAATGGGCAGAAAATGGTGTCTCACAATCACTTATCGCTGTTCCAAACAAGGTTCTCTCCTTCCTTCCCTCTCCTCTTCTGTTCCCATGGCAACAACACTTCCTGCATTTTCAATGATGAGCATTTCTTTCCCTTCTCTTTGCTCACTCACTATTTTACAAGAGGCCTTGAATGTCTATTGCATTTCAGACAGACCTGCACATTCTTTCATGATTCTAAACAAGTGCCTGGTTTCTATAAAATTCTTGCTTAGATATTATATTACCCGTCTCGCAGGTGTCACTGGAGTCAACTAATTAATGAAACTCATGAATCAATCTATATTACATTTTATTGCTCCTGAAATGAAATGTAGATTCAAGGGGAATTTATACATAGTAACAAAGAAAGATAAAAAGCAAGCGAGAAAGGAAGCAGTGGAAAAGCTCACCATGGCGATAACGGCTGCTCCAGCCCCCGCAAGTGCGCAGACGAACAAGTGGAACGTCAGATCCAGCTGAAGAAAGAGACAAAAAAAAAAGACTCTAAAAAATCATTTTTACAGTGTTTGTGGTTATTGTTCAGAAAACCATCCACGTTTTCTCCTCGTCAAAGTTGTAAATGAAACTAAGTTTATTGGAATGCATTTGACAGGAAAATACTATTTCAGTCTTTCTGTCAAATATAATGTTTAATTCAGCGTGTTACTTGCCATTTCTTTAACTTATCTGTAAAAAAAAAAAAAAGTTTACACCAGCAAAGTGCAGATAAATCTAGATCTCTAAAACAATTTAAAATGATAACCTCAATCTATTGTGACATCTTCACTCTGCATATTCATTTTATTTTCAACTTTCAGCACATGTCAACAGTGACCTTTAAACAGATCTGATAAATGCCAGTAATCTCTAATAATATTAATATTGTGAAAACATGACATTCACACCCATATAACTTGTGGCACAGTCCATAAAAGAAGCTGCTCAATCTTGCTAATAAATTTTAATTTTACAATTATATATTTATATGGAGGAATCCCTGCTGCACGGTGTCTCTTCAGACTTAAAAGCATGGAAAGGTTTACAATTTATTCATATTCTCTCTCTCGCTCTCACTCACTCACTCCCCACCCTTCTTTTATGGCATAGGTTGCTGACTGTAATGGCGGGTTGAATTTAGATGAAGGCCATCAGTCAGGATAAAGAACTGCCGACTGACCTCATTAGATTCGCACATCTTGATGAAGTTCTCAGAAGCAGTGCACAGTTTTTTCTCCTCACCAGTGGACACAATTCCTGCAATTCAAATTAAGTGAGTTGTGTTAACATCAGACTATTAGGGAGTTGATATGTGCTTATTAAAAATGCTTAACAAAAAAAAAAAACATTCATAAATGATTATTCGATTTGGCTAAATTGTGCTAAGCCATGGTTAGTTCATTTTTAACCTTTCCATAGTGGGTTTCATCATGTCATGAACGTGTAGGTGAATGTGATTTCAACAAATACAACATGTTACTGGATCAAAATCGTTGAACAACATTATTGTTAATTTTTATCGGCTAATTCATATTGTTATGTTTAGGCTTACAAAGCAGAGTCAGGTGCTTCTACATTGGTGTAATTCAACTATCATTTTCCTCTGATTTTAGGGATAAATTATGGATAGGCTTAGGTTTAGGGGTAAGGATAGGGACTGGAATGTTGTTGCAGGAACATGTCTTGGCAAAATCATGATGACCAATGGGATACACCACAGCTATAGAGGCGATTTTACTATAACTGAAGAGTTCAGATGCAAAAGCCTCTAAGTGCCATTTGAAATTTTCTTCTAGAATGATCATTTTTATCAAGCTTGTATATTTAAGTTCAGTGATTTCACTTAAATGGCAATGATAATTACCTATTAATTGTTATTTAAGTGAAATTACTGAACTTAAATATACAAGTTTGATAAAAATCATCATTAAAGAAGAAAATTTCAAATGGCATTTAGAGGCTTTTGCATCTGAACTCTTCAACTGTTGTTGATGTTGCAATTCTGTCAATGAATGGCTGCATTACAATTAAATGTCACAATGGTGCTCCCAGCAGTATTGGTACACAATGGATTTCTGTAATGTGTAAAAATAGTGCTTAATGATATCATGATATCATGTGAGTTATTTTCCAATATGCTCTGCCCTTGGAAGTCAGTTGAATGCATGTAACCAGCCACATTCGGTAGCTTTTGCACTAAAACATAAATAAACTGCAACATAAAAACATACATCTGATTGAGAAAGGTTGTTTGAAGTCATCACAGACATTGTGATGCAGATGCACTTGAATGTGACTAGAAAACATCAGCAATGCATCTATATTGTTTATGGCTGGCTAAGTGTTTAGTTGACACCACCATATTACAGGAAATTACAGGAACATATGTCTCATGTGATAGTGTTGAAATGAGCTACGCACCAAACTGACGCAGGTCGAAGCAAAGATTAGTATTGTACACCACAGTGTTGTTCTGACAGGTGTTCCAGATGTTGAAATACATGAAGACTGGCAGAGAGGTGAAGGCTGTAACTCCCAGCCAAGCCAACATGAAGATATAAGTAAGCATGATGAACTGAAGAAGACAGAAAGAGATAAATTAGGGATGCATATAATAGCGGTGACCTTATGAGCCATCTGAAAGTTTTTTTTTTTTTCGAATCAGATTTATATCAGATTTCTTTTTTCTAATTCAGTAAAAACCCTTCATTTCTACTATACAATAATATGATTTGATGCCTCATTTAATTTGAAGCATGTAATTTCTTTTAGTGTGAACATTTTTTTTTCAAACTTATAATTTAGAAAATCACAGTTTTGAGATCAATGTTTTTTTGTTTTTTGTTTTGTTTTTTAACATGAACTCCTGCTCATCATACATTCCAGTAGTTGTTTGGGTGGTTGATCTTACCCAAGCACTGACACAGCGCCCGCAGGTGGTGATCTTAAAGTCCCCATAAAGGTCCCGGATGGCCCCAGTGGTGAAAAATCCCTCCACCATCAGTAGAATACCATAGACGAAAAAAGCAGCTGCCACTCCATAGATCACATACTTAAAGATGTCAATCCTGAGGAATCGAAACGATAAATAAGTAGTGATATTTTAATGAAAAGAGTCCAGTGCTTATCTAGCATAACAGTAATTCAATGACAATAGAGGGCATAATGGTGGCAGAGTACATCTGTGTTTTGTGAAGTCCTAATCCACAGATTGGTTTGTGTGTACATTCAATTAAATTTGATTTACTTATTCCAAAGCCTTACTCAGAAAAAAATCAATAAATAAAATGTCTGAAGAAATTCTGCTCCATGCCATTATTCCTTCCTCCACCCACTCCTTTTTTCTTGTTCTCTCCTTCCATCCTGCTCTCCTTCCCACCAGTGGAGTTCCGGTGAGCAGGTGTGCTCTGTTGATCTGGTGTGATTTCAGAACGCCTAATTCTCTGAGTGGGACTGATGCCAAAACCTAACATGGTAGCTCAAGTTTGTGCACATGTCACTGTTATTTAAAAATATGAATGTGGGAAAACAAGCCATTTTCTTTACTTGACTAGACTTAATTATTCTCTATTGTATGCAACAAGTCTGCTTTTTTAATGGTAGAGTTAACCAATAAACCACAAATCGAAAATGAATGAAGTCAGTACAATCTGTTTTCTCAAGTACAACATGTTCCTGGATCAATATCTTTGTCGATCCTGGAACAACATTCCAATCAACAATCAGATTTGAGGGACTGTCAGGGATCACAGATGAATCAGAAAAGATGGTATGTTGGTATGTCGGAGATAACATAAAGGAAGCCATAAAGGAAGCTTAGCTGTGGTTAATGTCCTTTTCTCTCTTGCGGGTAACTTGACAGTGGTTTGGTGCAGATGGATCGGGGAGTCTGTGAGCCATGGAATGACGAGACCAGACAAGTGACTGCAGTGAGAGTGAATGTTTTATACTCCGTGCGGTGATGGGACACAGGTGACGGTGATTAGTAATCAGGGGTTAATGAACGGGGAAGTGTCTGATTGGGTGAAAGGGAATGAGTAGGCGGTGATGATGATCGTGGTGGCGATGGAATCCTGACAGGGACAGTTTACAGTTGATGTCAAGTTTAGGCTTACAACCATGCTTAGGTGCTTCTACATCAGTGTTATAGAGGGAATGCATTGACGTCACTTTCCCGCCGTAACATCCCCCCTCAGCCTGACTGAGTGGCAAAAGATCTGCTGCGTGACTGGATTCAATAGGGGAAACTGCGAAAATGCGACTAAAACGAACAATTGTATCAATTTAAACTAAATGTTGGACTCAATATAGTGTTCCTTACAACTTTCTAAATACCCAGTGATCCATGGATATTGACATGCAGCCAGGAATCATGTTTTCCTGATTTCGACACCGGGAAATAAAAAAGCAATATACAGTAGACCTAAACATAAAGCAAATTTGCCTGTGAACGCTTTATATAAATACAATATAGGTAGGTCTAAATCCAGGTGATCACTTATATCAGTGTTATATATAGCCTATGTACAGTATGTAAGGGTTAATGCCCGACGAGGTGTCCATTGTCAGGTTTTAATGGACGACGGCGAGGCGTAAACCGGCCGACGCGCAGCGGAGGACGGTTGCCTCCGCCGAAGTCCATTAAAACCTGACAATGGACACCTCGGAGGGCATTAACCCGCTTATACCATGGTCACTTGCCAAATAAAACATTAGTTTATATTTTAATTAGGCTAAATCTAGTTTTTACAAATAATAACTTGACTGACTGTTTATCTAGCAACCGGAGATATTTATAGTCCGCTTAGCTCGTATCCCTTCAGGTTCACAAATGCATTTTTTTTTTTCATGAAACACAAAGGTAGGCATAGTTTTTTTTATTACACATAAAACAATTAATCAAACAACAATAAAAAACAATTAGCTCTGAGCTCCAGCGATTTGCGCTTAACGTTATAGAGGGCAATAAATTAATCAGATCAAAGAGAGGGTCATTTGCCTCAGGCTCCATAGGCTTGAAACGCTGTAACGTTCAGCCTTCTCCTGCCTTGGTTGTCTGGACAGCTGCGTAAAACTCCCGCAGGGTCTCATTCAGGGGTGCGTTTCCCGAAAGCATCGTTATCCAATATGGTCGCAAGTTACGTCGTTACCAATAGAGTTCAATGGAGCAGCGCAGCAGCGGTGTAATTTCCTCCGTTTTATTTACATTTTTTCTTTCTTCAGCAGCATACCAGTCGTCAAAGTTGCCATATTCTCCATAAATGTTAAAAGAAATAGCACGAAGTCGCTCATTGTTGTATTAGGCTATAATATCTAACGTTAGATGATAGAGCATGTGACTGCCTGTTGCTATGGTTACTCACAGCCGTTGTAGGCAGCGCATTTATTTATTAATTTCGAATGGTAAACAGGCAGTTTCACCAGAACTACTTTACTAGGTGTCCTCTATCACTTTTTAACGGACACCCTGCAGCCAATCAGAATCGAGTATTCACCCAGACCATGGTATAAATCATCATATCGTCCAGCCCTAAAACTTTATAGTTTTTTTTTTAGTAGTTTTTAGTTTTTATTAAAAAAAACATCCTATAATGCATAATATGCAATGATAAATATTTAATTGATGAGTTGTTGATATATACTGTATATATATATATATATATATATATATATAACAATACAAAATATATGGGTATGGTTTTACACCAAAATTCAGCATATTGACAAAATGATGACTGCAAATCCACCTTTCGCTGACTGGAGTCCATTTGTTGCTGTGAATTGCAGCGATCCATTTGCTCCTCTTTCTATAGCAGTCTGTAAAAATATACCTCCGATTTTTTGTCAAATCTAGTTGTACAGTCAGTCGCAAAGCTCTTTCCCATTTTATATGCGCTGTATTTGTTTTTCGCGGCATTCACGCTGAAAACAAATACAGCCGCTCAGTCTTTTTGCCACTCACTGTGAGTAACTGTAGGCACTCTGGCCGACGGTGACGTCACGCGCATACACCTCTATTCACATATAATTTGCCTCTGAGTTTAGGGATAATTTATGGGTAGGGTTATGTTTAGGGGTAGGGATTAGGGCTACATTTTCAGACCAGAATGTTGTTCCAGGACGCAACATGACATCATGACTTTTGTGTAAACATACACGCCACTTTCGAGTCAGGTGGCGTGTTATCTGTACGCATTTTGAGCTATCCGCGTGTATCCGCGTGTATGCGTGTATGTTTACGCCATTAACGTCCGCATCATTCCGCGTGTCTGTACACGCAGTCAAATCTCCAGTCATAAATGCCATTAACCCCAGTGACGTTTAAGTTTAGGGATGGGGTTGAGGTAAGTCATATCTTTTTTTTTCCTAGGATGGTAAGGGAACAGTCATAAATGCCATTAACCCCAGTGACGGTTAAGTTTAGGGATGGGGTTGAGGTAAGTCATATCTTTTTTTTACCTAGGATGGTAAGGGAACAGTCATAAATGCCATTAACCCCAGTGACGGTTAGGTTTAGGGACGGGGTTGAGGTAAGTCATATATTTATATAACGTTAAGTCAACGGCGTTCATAAACACGCTGAAAGGCGATTATGCGTCTTGATAGAACGCCAAAAATGGAAATACGAATTGGCATGGCATACACACGCTACTTCATGAGATCAGTCTGCAGGATGAACTAAATATGTTGTATAAATGTTGTAGAATATGTAAGCGTCAAACTCAGCAAAATCAGGACGTGCATGAAGTAATATGTCATATAAGGTAAAATATTAATTCATATGAGTTTGGGTTATTTGCAATAGACAAGCAATGATGTCAGTTACCACTAGATTATTGAGAAGCACTGATGAAAGAAACTGAATTGAATTCATGTGCATTTGAAGAAGGGTGCAATTAAAATATGTCACAGAAATTGGGCTCAACAGGCAGCAAATGTTCTTTTTTATAACAATTTTAGTACTGTGGCACTCACATGGTGAAGACGTCCAGGGCATCAACAGGCGACCGGACAACATCAAAGTAGGTCTGCAGGATGGTGACGGTCCCAGAGAGCGCCTCATGACCACAGCCACAGAAGAGCGCTACCCCGGCATACAGCAGGATGGTCGCAATCAGAGAGGCATAGGGTATCCCACTCAGACATTTGAGGCAGCATTCAGAACACCCTGGGAACAAGAGAGAATGTCAGTCCATAACTGCTATAAGAGCAGTGTATGACAACCAATAGCAATGCGTTACCACCCATATAGGGCAATGGTGTTGATAAATATGTAGAAGTGCAGGAGAAATTAGAATCAAGTACAGGGAATGTATCAAAAATGTATTCAAGTGAAAGTGAAAGTATTTAAATGTACACTGTAAAAAATCATTTGATAAATAAGCTATGACAACTAAGTATGCTTTAACTCATCAAAATATGTTAATTCATTTTTAAGTCAGTTTAAATGCAATTTAGTTGAAATTACTTAAAACTTAAAAATCTAGGTTGATTGTACTTAAATATTAAATTGAATGAATCAAGACACTGTTGTTTTTAAAGAAATTAATACATTAATACAAGGATGCTTTAAATTGATCAAAAGTGACATCAAATACTTTTACAGTGTTACAAAAAAATGAATGCTGTTCTTTTGAACTTTCTATTCATCAAAAAAAAAAAACAGTATCACTGTTTCTACAAACATATTACATTATATTTTAATTCAGCTTTTCCATCACAGATAAACAATACATTTTAAATATCATAACATAATAGAACAATTATTTAAAATTGTTATAACATTTAACAATATTAATGTTTTTTATTGTATTTTTAAATGCAAACTTGGTGAGCATAAGATACGTACTTCAAAAATTGTTAATTTTAACGCCTCTAATCATTACATAACTTAAATAGCTTGAATGTCAGTTAAAAAAGCATAAGTCATTCAGGTTTATAAACGGCAAATACTACATGAATTCAAAGATGGCCGGTTTATGTACAACAAATGAAAATGATAAATAAGAGTCGCATTGGTCCATTGCCCATCTCAGAGTGGTAACAGTTTCACCAGATGAAAGGACGGCAAAAGAGAACATCCATTCCCACACATGTCACAGGGCAGGAAGTCTACTGTCACTCTCTAACCAATCATAACTGCCACAGCTGAAAGATTAATGGACGCAATTCAACAGCAAACAACAACTATTGATTACAATATTGCAAGTCGAGAATGGCACCAGTGGCGGCTATTCCACAAGCGCCACACAATGAATTAATGGATCATCCTAAACAAAACCCACCAGTACAGGAAAGCATAGTAGATCAGGTCTTCAGAAGATCACTATCATGTAGTAAGAAAAATAGTCCTTATTGTTGAACTCAATAGGTCAAGAAGATTAAATGTTTCACAGCACAACCTCTTGAAGCCCCGAAGCTGAATGCTCTCGATTCTTGAGCATACATCCCATCTTCTCACTGAGTGCCTTGTAGCCAAGTTGCTATTTATGCAATAGCATTGTGTCTGCATTCTCCTCACTCCTTGCAGCTGTGCTCCAGAACCTGCCTTTTACAGGAGTGTGGAGATTTTTTTTTTTTTTTTCACTGCAGTGACCCAGCTATTACAGGGGAAACAGATTCACACCTCTATTACACCTTGAGAAGAGCCTGCAGCTCTGAATGATGAATTTATATATATATATGAACAGTCTTTGTTTTAATTACGTAATTGTAAGCTATTATTTTTATTTTATTATTATTTTTCTTTCTACAGCAGTTTGACTAAAAACACAGACCATGTTTACGGTAAATATCCGTTTAAAAAAAAAAAAAAAAAAACATTTTTCCATAAGACTTTTTACAGTTATTTTACCCTTTTTTTTTCTTCAGTGTACGAACTATAAGTACAAACTATATTTATAATATCCCAACAGTAATCTACACAAAATCTTCAGCATCTTTGATGAAGTGCCACATATTTTTATTCAGTGTAGAGTCAGCAGAGAAGACTATGCCATTAACACAGTGTCTTCACATTTTCGCTACTGCTTGGATCCCTAATTCCAGGTGTCTGTAAATTTGAATGCCCCTAATTAGGCAGATCGACTGTGATATCTGGGAGTGAAGTAGAGTGACACGTTACTTATTTATCATGCCAATAAACAGGACCAAACTGACACCCCTGTGGTGTCCTTAAGATGCAGTCAGTCTTGAGAGAGCTGAAACAGATTAATGAGGGAGCCAAAGTCTGTTCTTTGATCTCAGTGGGATGGGACATGAGATCAATACTCAGACTGTCATTGGACTCAAGCCTAAACCTGCCTCATCAAGTGCACCCCTCTCATGCCCGGTAAGAAATCTATAATGTTTGCTTATATAAGAATTTTGCTTTTAAGAAACAATAGTTCAAAAAGGTCTAAATCTATCTCCCTTTCCTTGAATCTGCCTCTATAAAAACCCTCACAGTGGATGTTTGATTCTTTTACCATTCTTTCACATTCAAAAAGAGTGGAGAGTGTTTCCATCGTAATAGATGGTATAGGCAGGCACTTTCACAGAAACACTAATGAAAGAAGACAAGCACCCTATATTGACTACATTAAGGCAGCGAGAGGTGGTGAACATCTCTCACACAGATGAACTGCTTCCTGCTAGGTAGTATATCAGCAAATATATAACTATCTGTCTCCTTGTCCAGAAGATCAGAATCAGAGACCATTACAATAGTAATCTACTTTCTTTCCTCATACAGACTTTCTTATGTTCAGACCAACTGCACATGGATTTCAACCAGCTGACAGAGTTCTTTGTGTATCATCATCATATTACATCACTTAGTTATTAAATATTTAATAAAATTAAAATATATACAAAATATGTTTAGCATACATGAGATTTCAGTTCAGTTGGGAGTGTGGTGTGTATTTTTGGGGTTACAAGTTATTTCATCCTTCAGCACTTCAGGAGTAATGTAGGTTTACAACTGGAACACCCGTCTCATTTCCTCTCTGTCCATTGTCTTTAATCCACTGCAGAGCAATGAATGCGCCACATCGATCAGAATAACAACAGGGTGGATGTGAAAGATTATTTAGAGTCACTTCTTTCTACATCTTATATGGTCACACTGGACTTAGAAAAATATCCTGTACCTTCAGCCAACCTTCCAAATAGAGAGGAGGCATTTTGGAACGCTTGCTCCTTATTTCCATTGTGGGTGTAGAAATTAAACACACCAAAGCTTTAAAAACAAAAACACCACCAAACACAAAAAAAAGAATATCTGACCTGTTGTTATTCATTGGACAACAATATGCCCTACGAAAATAACTCAACTCTTTCCTTATCCTATAAATTGCATTATTTTTTTACATGGAAATGGAATGTAATAGAAGAGCAGCTCAAAGACGAGGAAAAATGATGTAACCATAAAACACTACATTTTCATTCCAGATGATTTGTTGGTTCATGCTGAAGGGATCAGGGACAATAAGTGTGGCATATTTATAACTACACTAGCATATACAGTAGAAAACTTTAAACTAATAGACACTGACTAAAAATCCACAAAATTCAACTATTTCATGTGGTCTTAAAGGGGTGATGAGCTGAGAAATCAAATTTTCCTTGAGCTTTTGACATCTATGAGGTCATCATATTGTAAGAATATCCTGTAAGTTTCAGAACTGAAAACATCCTTGTTAGTCCAATAAAAGCTTTTATTGACACCAGCCTCAGCAAACGACGTTTTTCAAAGTGGGGAACTATGACGTCAAAGAGGATAAAACACCACCCCCGCAGAAGAAGATCAACACCTACTTCAACACGTCTGTTTAACCCCGCCCACCGATTCGCGCATTACACACATAGAAATAATATAGATGCCTATCTTGTGATGACAAACCGGATCGAGCTACCGAGCAATACAGAATATTGTGCAGTGCCTCGTTGTGGAAGACGACAGTCGCTGCATATGCTTCCTCTGGATTCTGGATCAACTTTATTTTAATGACGTTTCAGCAGATGAGGGTAAACATTGTCCGTCTGTTCGCTTCATTTCACTGAGGATGGTTTTGTAAATAAAGACTGGATTTGCAGACCGATTAAGACTAAAAACGGTGCTGTGCCATCTATATTGGAACTAACAGGAATGCTGCAACACATGAACTCTGGGTCAAATATGTATGGGCGAATCATTCCGGTTGCCATTTTACAACATCGGACGTTTTCAGAACGATTTCCCCCAAGTGCACCGACGGGTGAGTTGAAACTCATTATAATATGCAAAACTGTTATCCACTCACAGCAGTGGGCGTTTACTTCCAAGTCTTCAGTGCGAGACGCCCATAAAAACCGAGCGTTTTTGAGCTAGGCTCATAACTAGGGTAGAAAATAGTAGCCTGGTTCAACCAGACTCTAGTTCATTTCATTTCCACATAGAGTCTGGAACCGCTCCATTGAAAAACGTTTCCTTCCTTGTAGGCGGGTTCACTATTAAAGTTCAAATCTATTGGATCTGCCCAAAGTCACTCACGATCTGCCATAGCCAATCGCTAACGGGGTGTCGTGAGTGACGTATGTCACGCGGCGAAATGGCTGGAAACAACAAGTCCGAATGATCAGAGGATTATGTTTACAATAGGATTTCAGTCAAGGAGCGCCGCAGGTTTTGTTAATCTAGGAACAATTATTAATTCGAAATGTATATTTGACACGAAGGACAGTGATATATTCATTCAACGGTGGAAGCTGTGTCTAATCATTACAAATACGCCGCTGTGGTCGTTTTCTGATCTGCCGCAAATGCTGTAGCAGCTACAGTGAATGATCAGTCTGTCTCTATCTGCAGATGTGTAATAAACAACAATTTTTCATATTACGTCTTATTGTTTCTTAATTACCTTAATTATGGTCTTCAAAGTATGTGTTTGTACATTTTTATGTGGCATTTATTTTTTTTAGTAAAACAAATCAACCATTGCCATCTAAAACTGAAAATCAAATATCTTCAAAGTATGGTTTTTCACATTTTTATTTATGACAATTATTTTTTTTTAAATCACAACCAATTTGTATGATTTACAACATGTAAAACTGACACACCAACCTCCTGCACGAGTGCACAAAGGGGCTCAAAATGTTCTATTCATCACAAGAATCAGTAAATTTACTGTTGGGAATATGAGC